TTTCCCTCACCGGGCACTTCCTCTGTTCAGTCTCTTGCGCATCAGATTTCATGTCGGCATCTGCTTCTTGGAGGACATAGACTAACAGGGATGGCTTGTGTATGCCATGCCTGTCAGCGTCAAAGGCAGGGTGGCAAATATGTCCGCCTTGTAGGCTGCCTAGTCCACTGGTAGTGGCTGCTCGGAGTGCTGAGTTGAGGAAGGTTCTAGAGGTGTACCTGGTCTATGGTAAAGAACGCCACGGTCTGTTGGCAAGTTCTGCCGTGAGGGCAAAGGAGGAGGGTTTTGACCTTTCATCAGTCACTGCTGCTGAATTCAGTTGTTCCATAAATTCCTATCATAAAGGGTCACGGCCAGAAGGGTAGTTGCTGTACATGAAACTTTTGTTAATTACAAATGATAATCATAACGATAGTGAATGATTAATGATAATGATGGTTATTAATAACGATTTTCACTAATAATTATGTATGATATATAATATATGACTACATAATATATGAATAGTGATAATACTTCATGATGAATGATAATTATATAATGGCATTCTATCATTAAGGAGCTTAAAGTGATACTAATAAGATTTCATTATATTATATAAGCAATAATATTTTCACAGTGAAAGAGCCTGTCATATGAAGTCTAGAAGAGATCGAAAGCGTAAAGATGTGTTAGTGATCTCCATCTCTGACTTGGGGTGACTGCTGTGATGAGCTGACATGATTATTTCTGTTTCCTTAGCAGCTCTGTATCGTCGAGCCCACCATAACACGATGATGTTTGTTACTATTACTCATTTCCTTTTATCTGATTTTATACTTGGCAAGCAACATTCTGACATCAGATTTTGTAAGCAGATTTTCTGACTAGACAGAAGATGTGATGACCAGTTGATTATAAATATTCTTATCTATCATTTTTGTTTCTTCTAAAATTCTAAAAAATCATTAAAAAATTATATGCTTATCATTAAATAATTAAAAAAGTATAAAGCACAATGTGAAGTTCATTTCTTATTCGCAGTTTCTTTTCAGTCCTACTCTGTAGGAGTAACATTCTATTTTTTGTTGTAAATTAATTTTCTCCACTGGGTATCTGAGGCTGAAGGTGTTTTATGACCTTGTTTAAAAGGAATCTCTTGTGTATTTACCCAGCAGGAACTAACAACACTGAGCTCGTAAATACACACAACTGAGGGCCAACCATTTCATTCAGAGTCCTTTTTATCTTCATGAGCGACTCTTTCATTGTCCTTTATGAAGGCAAACATTATGCTTTGCAAAAAGTGTTGTAAGCTTTAGCTACAACACACAGAATATTGGGAGCGTATGTGTAATACTGTGGGTCACAGCATTTTATGGTTGATACTGACTTATAAACCACCACTCATTTATTTTGGTGTGAATTGTATTCTTTTTTAGTTTTTTTCTAGGAGTCTTTTGTCGGCCCCAAGGATTAAGTGGGGGGGGGGTAAGAAAATTGACTTTTGTCTTACTGTGAAGTCAGTGTGCATTTACTTCTATTCTTTTAGAAAGAACAGCTAAACACAAATCTGAAATTATATAGGTTATAGATCGGCTCTTCTTTTTTTAAAAGAAGGTCAAGATGATTATTATTGGCCATTTTCAAACTCAAAGCAATTTCTAATGAGAAAAATTAGTTCCCTAAGATGAGTAAGATTAGCCTTTTAATATACATGTTTGAAAAAGATGTTCCTAAATGGAGAACATCTGGCTCATTGCTGAAAGTGCTTTCATTCTAGGATTTACAGGTGGATACCTTGAGCTTTAGCACTCCAAGAGAAATTATTATTTTAGGAACAGAAAACACAATTTGCCAAAATGATGTTGGCACAACTATTAAGACAAATGTAATTTTGAAACTTTTAGGAAGCCTAAATAATGATCTCACTTTAAGAGGGAGGGACTATATTATTTTCATAAATGAACCCAACTTACTTGTTTATTCAGTGAACTGAAATTCACTCATATTTAAGGCTGATGAGTTTTTACAATAATTTCATACCAAAAAAAACTGATAAAAATTTTGTGAGAATTTTTTAGGCAGGACAAACATGGTGAACAAAATGCATAGATCTGGTGACTGCAGGGAAAACAATTAGAGGTCTTTTTTTTAAAAATTAGAGTCTTTTCATGTAGGTTGGAAAGTAGATCTTTCCAAAAGCAATTTATTTATTCTGTCCTCCTTTCATAAAATTAGAATTAACTTTTTGTTCAATTAACAGGCAAAATACTACCACAGAAAGAAAGATACTCTAAGACATTCATAGACTTACCTACTTTCTCCTTTTGATTAAGGAAAACCTGGAGTAATTTTGTAGCACATGTATTATTTGCTAGTTTTCATCAAATGGAATGCTGTAAAGGTAGTTACAAAGATAAACAGAGGAAATATCTCTGGGGAGAGGTTGTGATTTAGTATATATTGCATTTGTTCAAGATGGTTACAGAGATGCAAACATTGTGTTCATATAGGCTGTACTCTAAACTTCATTTTCTGATGTGAGAAGATAGATGTGACTTACTATTTGAGGCAAAATTACTGTACCTTACTACACTCTTCATAAAATAAAGAACCACAACAGCATGGGAATGTCATTTCATTTGTCTGACCCACTAGATTAGATTGATAGGTTTGATCATCTTCTATTTGTGGCCAATGATGGTTCCTTAAGGAGCTTTAATAGATTTATTTTGATCTTTTCTTTTTAACTTTAAGGTTACCCATGGGTTAGGCAAAACGCCAAGGTCAGAATGCAATTTTTTTTACTGCCTTTATATTGCATTTGTCTCTGTCTTAGAAGAAATAGCCCTCTGCCCTCATAAGGAGAGTAGCTTTACTTGTACTGTTGAGATTCTGACTCAGATGCTAAAATTAAAACCCAGTAAGACCACTGCCTGGTTTTATCGATGATGCCATTGTGGCATGTCCTGGAAAGTTCTGATTTAATTTTTTTGCCTATAAAATTTTCATACATGTGGAGTGGAAATTTCACTTAAAATATCAGCACATGGGAATGGCCTTTTCCATGTTATATGAGTTGCAATAAAGGTTTTGAAGGCATACTTACCTCCATGCAAATGTTATCTCATGATTCAAACAGAAAATAAAACTATATTAATAAAGTACTAAGATGGACTAAGGCCCTTTAATGGCACATTTTTGGCCTCCTCAACAAACTTATTTCTAGATCTGATAGGTGTAGTTTTTTATAGATCTGATCTAAGCTTGATTTTAGAAGCAAGGCCATCTGGATTTAAATTCTCAAAAATACCACAACTCTGGGGGCACAAGTGAAATACTGAAATAAACACATGGTCAGATCAACTTTTGGTTGATATGAAAGCCCCATAGAACTAATTTTTTTTCTGAAAAATAATCAAGAACCCAAACTAATCACACATATAAACCAGTTTATTAGATTGTCAATGATACTTTGAGACAAATTCAAGTTATTTTATTTTCCTTTATATAAACAGAGGAAGGGAGGAAAGTTTTAAATTTCAAGCTTTGTTCAGCATGTGTCCAGTTAGCATCCACAAAAGCACCATTGGATATGGAAGAATTAGCACCCCAGAATTTTAGGACCTAACTGTTAACATGCATCACTGGAAAATCCGAAACAATGAAAACTGAAGTGGTACGTGGTCTGATCTATTATAAACAAAACAAGGCAATTTATGATTTGTTTTCCTACAGTACAATACAATCACCACAACGAGAACCTTTTCAGCACAACACAGGACGAAAACCACTTTGCACCCTGTTAACACTAGAGCAGTGACAGATTTAAAAAAACGTGTTTCTTGTGAGAGGCAGTGGGTTGCAATGATCCCTCCTCCTCGAATTTTAAATTCAGAGTTACAGAGTTACATGGTCTCTTAAGAAAGTATTTTCAAATCTATGTCTCTACTTCCATGACGACAAATGGTGTTTTTTGTTTGACGAATTTAAGCAACCCCTTCCGCCCAAAACCTAACCTGATAAGAAAGTACTCCAGTCTGGTGGGAGATAATCCACATGAGATCGGTTTGAAAATGTTGCCAGTGGAGTTGACACTTGCCTTCCCATCCGTGGAGAAACATCAAGTACAGAAGCCTTGTATTCACGATGAACTTCGTTTCATTTCTTTCACCCAGTGCCTTTATTCTGAAGTGTAACATAAGAGACTTACTCCTTATTCCTCAACTGTTTTTGTAGTGTCATAGGGCTGTTCCTTATGCTGGATTTGACAACAGTGAAAAGGGTTGGTATTCTCTCTGGATTTAGGGTAATTTGAGCTAAAGAAAAAATATTAATTTAAATTTAGAATATATGAAATTTTAAATGGAGTTTCACTAGTTTCACAGTACACACCCATCATGAGTATCATTGAAAACCTTTCTCTTAGAAAGCATGTAACAAACCCTCAATTTGAAGTTGTGTCTAGGCCAATTTTGGCATAGTAGAAGAGACTGTATAAGAAATGTGTCATAAGAATAGATAGATACAGGTATATTCAGATCTCAATGTGTTGATGCCCAGGAAAAAATACTGTTACTCACCAAGAGAAAGAATATACCTTGGAGCATCTATGCAGACACATGAATCAATCATGTATCTGCCCAACGTCTACGTCTGGAATAGTGATAACAGGGTCATTTAGGAAAAAGTACTCAATTACAGTATGGCAGCAAGTTTATGTTGTATACATCTAACAGCAAAACATTTTTGAAAATAGAATCAGTACTATACGGTAAGTTTACAATTCATCATTTCTATACTTGTAATACATGCGTTTATATTGGTTTTCCCAGGAAAAAAAAATCCCACTAGGACCAACATCTTCCAGAACAACAGTCTAACATTAAACAAAGCCTCCTAAGGGAAATATTTAGCATCACAGAGATTTGAGAAAAGTCTGTTACATAGCATCACAAAATATTCAATAGATCTACATTTAAGATTGTACATGCCATGACAGTAACACACCTTTGGGTACATATATGTTATTTAAGAGAAACCAAGAAACAAACCAAAGGATTGACATGGAATTTATTTAGTCTCCCTTTGGTCAGAGTAGACCATTAATGAACTTGACTCCTATCTGTACCACGTAATGATAAATGGGTCCATGAAGCAATATTTTCATTTAGTAAAAAAACATTTAAAACTAGTGATAGAAAAATGGCCACAACAGAGAAAAAATTCAAGATTGTAAAATTATAGATAAATGTTTTTTTTTTCTTAAGTGAATTGCCCTTAAACAAAAAAGAAGGCAAAAGTTTCTTCGCTTTGAAATATTCTGTGGAAAAACATTCTTGGATAAAAATTAGCCTATCTTTATAATAGATGGCAGAAAGATGTAAGGTTTAACTTGTGAAAAAATTTAACTTATGAAAAAAATTTATCCTATGCTTTTTCTGCTGAATTAAATCCATTTGTGTAAATCAACTACTAATTTTCTGAGGAGGAATCAGCTATACAGAGCAGCATATCCATGTTACTGATTTGAGTCTGATAATTCACCAGGCATGACTGGCTTGAGCACAGGAGAAACAAAATTTATTTCTTAATGTTTTAGGGTTACACTTAAAACACTTGACTGAAACAAAATTGAGTTATGACAGGCTGGCTTACCAGTTTTGATTGCCCTTATATTTGACCAACATTTCAACACAAGGTAGTACCAATTAAAAATAAGATTTAAAACAAAAGCTGTCTACAAGCTGTTCAATGAAAAAGGCTTTAAATTTTACAAGTGATTGTAGACTTACTCAGACTAAGTTTTGCCATTATCAGACACACCTTTGTTACTTTTGAGTTTTATTTCTGTATTGTTCATTGGTTCTGTTATGTAACACAATTTTCTGTTAAGCTAAAATGCATTTTTACATTATAAGAAACTTTAAAAAAAACACATAAGTAGGATAATTTTATAAAAGGATAGGAGTATTTTATGAGATTTTTTAGACAAATTCTACACAGACAAATAGCTAGTTGAAGGTAATAAAGTGCCTTTATTTCCAAGGTAATTAATTTTTCACTAAAATACTTTAAGGCTTTTAAGAAACTTAACATTATCATAAGTTTGATAGTATATAGGGTTATGCTATTAACTTGCATTCTTTTATAAGTCTTATTTCATTTAATCTTTTCATCCATATTAAGGGATTTTTTAATAATTAGTGGCTTAAATTTTAAATTCAAATTGTTAATTCTGAATTCATCTTGTGAGGAAGGAGAAAGATGTATAATTTCTCAATGCTGTGATTTGTACATAAGACATGTTTTAGTAGAACAATCTAGTTTGTGTCATAATATACAACAGCCAATGTCCCTCAAAAATTCAACAGAATATTTAATCCCATGGCAAACAGGGCTATCATTTCATTCATTCTGCTCTGTTGTGTTTACATTTAAAATGATTGTGCAGCTGTAAATGGAAAAGGCCAGAGAAAATCTAAGATAAATTCTTCAAATACAGGCACAATGAGTATTTTTTATTGCAGGAATTTATGCATAATTTGTATTGATGTCAACATCTAATGTTAAAGCATTAATTTTTCCATTTTGTTTTTTCTACCTATGGGTGTATCACAGTAAAACACTGGTAACTTAGTAGAAGTATATATAATAGCCATAATAATACAGAATTCTATTTCTTCTTTCATTTCTCTTTGGAGGTTATGGGGGTATTTTAAGCAGAGCTGGGTACTTACTTGTGTTGACAGCTCCATATTTTAAGATAAATTATGACTATATGGACATCAACTTACTCAACTTGTTAAAACCAATAAAAACTAATGAAAGTGTTCAAATATTCTTTTTTAGGAATTTAGGTTTTTTTAATCAGAAAATTACTAAAGTCAGGTGCCATCTTAAATGGGCATGATACCTAAAATGCTTTTCTAATTACCACTAGATTGATTTAAAATGCTTCTTAAATTAAAGGTTTTTGAGGTTTTTGAGGAGCTGAGCTCAAACTCTTTGCAAAGAATGGTTTTAAATTAAGTATTCCACATAATTAGAAACATAGGAACTACTAGTAGGAAAAAAGTGCTTATCTTAAAACTGGGTTTGGTTTTGAATACAAAGCCTAGTAAGAGTAATTCCTGGGAATTAGAAAAAATGTAAATGGCATAAATCTTTATAATTGCACATTCCTCTAGCAAAGTGCCACAAGTTACCAATAATTTTTAAATGCGCATGATGCTACTTTGCATATCTAAGTATATATAAAGTTTTACCTTTTTCACTATAGTACAGCTTCACAAAATCAGCACAAATATAACCAGGAAGATGAATTATAACTTTCTTAAAACAGCATAGTGTGTTTTTAAAAATAACTTTTAGAACCTTGGTCTCTATGAAGATTTAAATCCAGGTATAACCAAAGCATTCCCATAAAATCTGAAAAGGTCATGAAAGTTTATTTAAGGAAATTTTAGTAATACTCTGCACAGACATCATATGCTTTTTTTTTAAACACTGGTTTAGTTATCCTGTTTTAATCTGACTACATATTATAGTTTATTCTCTTCAAACATTAAAGCAACGGTATATGTAGTAATCAAGTTTTGAAAACATTTTCTAGACTTAATTTCTCATTCCTATTATACACAGTGAAAATGTTTAATGCATGGATTATTAATTTTCGTACTTTTATCTCTTTAAGTAGAAATGCTAAGTGGAAATGCATAGAGATACTATAAAAAGGACAACAGAGACTGAAGTGCCAATTCTCCATATTATTACATTTATTAAATCAGGAGGAGACATAAAAAATGAAGATCTCTTTATCAAGTAATAATTGTATTAATATATGTTTAAAAAATAAGTGGCATGCACTTATGTTAAATTTTTAACTTAAATTAAAAATTTACATCTTAAATGTTTAAATTTTTAATATTTTTGTTGTTCGAGTGTGATGAAGTTGAACTAGAGAGGTGTGTCATTATAAACTGAGATAAGCAAAAATTACATTGTTCAGAGGAAAGAGAATTTAAGATCATGATTCTCAATGACAGGTCATCTGCCCTCCCTTAGGCCACAGACTAAACGTTGTGGTGTAGGGCAGTTGTCTGATTAGAGTGAAGATAACTGTAGCAACATTCAAGTGTTAATGGTAACAGCAGGATTAGTTCAGTCATAGAACATTAAATGACTATCAAAAAAGAACCCCTTCCTTTCCCTGTGAGAATCTCCATCTAGGGCAAAACAACAACATAAAAGAATATGAAATAAATGTCCAATTCTACTCTTCACCTTCCGAGGATGTAGAATGGGATATAAATTAGTGTCCTAGTCCTCTGAGAGAATTAACAAACTTTAAAAATTTAAGTCAGAAAGGATCAGGCATGAAAGATCACTGTTAACAGCTCCCCCACAGCCAAAGTACTGACAGGTTAATCACCGAAAGGATAGATATTCATCCTATGTAAATTAATGTACTTTCTTGTAGTTTCTGAGTATGAAAATATAATCCCTTGTTGGTAAATAATAGTCTTGGATAGTGGCAACATTTAAATATTGTTAGAGAAATACTTCAAATAAACAGAAATTCAGAAGAACCTTGATAGAAACTGTAGACATATGGAAACTCCACACTATTTGTGATATTCCAACTATATTTAGCTCATGCAATACTCAATACAAGATTGCACAATCTTTCTTGCTAATACACACAGATACTTTTCTGATTTTGCAAGAGCTAGGCAAATTGTATTTACTCTTAAGCTTTTCCGGTAGCAGTCTTACAGTGATGGCATAAATATTGAATGTACCTATGAGAAAACCGTTCCTACAACATAATTTATCCTTATTTTCTATTATTCAGCTCTTTTACAGCACACTTGCTTTCCAAAATGCCCTATAATGATAGTTCTCATTGTATCACTACCAGGAAGACAAAAGTAATCGATTGTTCATGCTGTGGTGGAACCACACAAGGCTTTTAAAGATCTTATGTGTCTTTTCTGCTCTGTAGGCAGTTATCTAGCATTGCCTGATGCCAGACATCTATGCCATACGCTCCTTGGGGCCAAAGACTAGATCTTGTTGTCTACTGAATATCCAGATCTAGCAGAGTATTTAGCTCATGCTGTACACAAAGGAAGTATCTGTTGATTTAATGAATGAAAAATGGGATTGAGAAAACAGAATAAAGAACTTCAGCATACTGCCCCTTACCCTCTAGCCCCCCAAAGCTGTGCTTGCCCATTCTTGCTTCTCCACAAAAATAAGGTAGGTAGTATTACCCATCTTAAATAATAGGGTAGTATTACCCACTCTTAAGTCA